GCTGTGTTCTGGTAGGATGGTGATAGCAGACCATGAGTAAGTTCCTAAGCAGAGAGAAATTTAAAAAGCAAAAAGATTGGCTACACCATCTAGTCCAGCCACTTCTAGTACAGAAACATGCTTTGTCTGGACAAGTTTTAATGACCCAATCTCTGGCTTCTGTCTCTTGCCTGAGGATGTTTTTGTGGCATAGCTGTTCCTCCTCTTTCCCCTACTAGTGCATTTTTGGTGTCAGTCTCCTTTCTCCTCCTCCTTGGCACTTAAAGATTTCTGAGAAGCCTGTCAGTTGTTATTTCTTTTTGCTGCCAGGGGAAGGAGGTGAAGGAAGGCAATGTCATTTTGGAGACACAGAAAGGGAGAGATGACAAGGTGAGAAGTGGGAATGCTACACCTTGAGCTGATATTTCTGGACTCTGTGTGCTAAAATAACCTCTTTCTGCTCGTAGGCAAATACTGATACACCTGGAATTTGCCAAGAGACCCGACCCCTGTGTGAAAAGTGCACTGACAAACTATAATTGTGATGCTCTAATAGCTGTGACTTTTCCTGAGAGGACACTGGTTTTTGTTTAAAATAAGCTCTGTGTCACTGCAAGGGCAACTCGGCCCTTTTTTTTTTTTTTTTTTTTTTAATGCCATGTTGTATCACAGTCTGAAACAAAAATTGGCTACTGCTTTTGTTTCTCATTATTTAAACTGAGAGATGTCTCAAACGGTGAATCTAGGATAGTGAAAAGCAAATCAGCCAGTCACTTTTATTTGTAATGCAAAGACATTATTTAACACCCCCCTTCCCAGTTTAATCCTGTATTTCTCTCATCCAACACCATATGGCACATGAATGGAAAGTCAGTTGTTCACAAATCCATTGCTGTGCAGTCTTTTACATAAACAAAGTCACAAGGATAAGCAAATGCCTTCCTTCTAATTAGCAGTGTGTTTTGTGGTTCCATACATTCCAAAATGTAATGGACAGCTACGGTGCCTAAAATAATCCCAGAGAAAAAACTCGTATGCCACAAAGATAGGGGTGGGAGGGAGAGGAGGCAGGAAAATCTGTTGTCTGTGTTCTTGGAAGCCTTTTCTATCTCCATTTGGATACCGTCAGCTTCTTTTACACAAACATTACGGCATCCAAGGGGAATTAGAAATACTTACCCATGACCGCAACGTCAGATCTTGGGTTTGTCAGGAGAAAGCAATGCAAAAGCAGGATCTTGGACCCGCTGCTTTCATTTTGGTTTTATCATGCTGATAAATACCTCCTAATGCTGGAAAGAGGTAAGGCTGGCTGTCTAGGTGGAATACAGGAAATGTAAAAATCTTACCTCATTGACGTGAAATGTTTTTTGGATCTGTGAAAGTGCTGTGTAAGTCCTATGTAACAGTTATTGTCTCTTGTGATGCCTCTGAAGTTACACAACAGCTTCCCTTTTATGCCAGTCTGTTGTGAAATGGCTAGGGACCACTCGGGACCGAGGGACGTAACTGAGATGCTGCTGGTCAGATGGCTTTTAACGGAGCCAAAAGGTGCAATTTGACCAGTGTTCACTTCAGCAGGATTTTTTATGAATGCGCCTTATCCCAACATCAGTGGAAATAGGAAAGGCAGTGCTTTTCCCTGGTAAGTTTTGATAGGTTTCTGTCCCAGCCTGTTTGCACCGATCTGTGCTGTACCCAGTGTTGTGACCCTGGTGCACAGAGCTGAGCGAGTTGGAAGCCTGTGAGCTCGGGAGCTTGCACGGCCACACTGCTGTACTTGCATTGCAGGGAGTCGGAGGTGTGGATACAGCCTGTTCTTATCCAAAACATCTACAGAGCTGATGTGGTCGCAGGGCTTCACCAGGCTTCAGCTCCTCTCAGGTGGCAATGTATGTTGTAACTTATGCTTCCATCTAACCCTTTCCCTAATCAAGGCAGATGAAAATCCAGTTCATAGGAAAAAGCCTGTAGGTGAAGGCCAGACAGCTATAGGGCAGGACCAAAAGCTGGTCGTGGCTTTTTCCCCCAGTTGCTAAGTGGAATGTAATCCATGTTGCCAAAGCCCATCAGCTAACGTTGTGATTTTGGGAAATGAAAACAAATGAGCTGTGTCATACAGCTGCACAGTCTCTCCTTGAGGAGCGGATCTGCTGGCTGGACACAAACCAAGGCAGTCGTTTTGCCATGCAAAAGTACGTGCTGGTTCCTAACACTGACACTTTGGCCCAGTATGTAGGTGAGAAAGGTGTAGGAGAGAGCCAGTGCTTTGAAACTGATCTTGGTGAACCAGCAATGAGCTGAAATATTTAATGGTGAAGGTAATTAACTATTGCAACAATTTACCTAGGGGACGTGCCTGGACCTTGATGATCTGAAGGTGCTTTGGCTGACCTGCCAGTCTTTGTGCTGGATGTGAGAGCAGACCAGCTTAAGGATGGATGATTTCTACGTGCTGCTGCTCTTCCTGTTGAATGTAGAATGTTCTCCTCCTGCTCTCTGGGCCGCCGCAGTGTGTTGGGTTTGCAATACTGCACAGGTCTTAGGTCACAGAGAGGTCCTGGTGTGGCTCAGTGGCTTCCCCACGACACATATGCCAGTGCCCATCCCAGAGCTGGCGTGCTGACCAGTCAGCCTCCCCACCATTCACAGGCAGCTCCCTTGCAGTTACTGGCTGGTCATCTGAGAGTAAATGGCCATTGTGATCCATTCTGACCTCTGGCACCTTGGGAACCCCCCAAAGAGAAGACGACAAACGAAACACTTTCATCCTATCCTCTGAGGAGTTCCCAGACAGAGATGGGCCTCTGCAGCAGCGTAAGTGGTGGTGGGAAAAGAGGCTTGTGATGAGCCCGGTCCATTTGTCGGGAGCCTTCACGTGTCTCTTGGCCAATGTCAGCAGAAGTCACTCTCATTATAAGAGTGTTAAGAATGCACCAGTGGCAACTCTGCTAACGGTGAGCAGCTGTTCTGGTGGTGCCCTCCAGAGATGTGGCTCCTGCAATCCAAGCTGCTCTGTTTATCCACACACAAGTAATTTCCCAATATATTTATCATGGTTTTGATCTTTGCCTGAAACTGAATTTTCTTTTCTATGGCTGGAGTAAAATTGCTCTGGATTTGAAAAGACAAACTTTTCACTCACCAGATGAGGGTGTACACATGTAAAATGTTGACATGTCTTTCCCTTCGGTTTGGTTAAAGACAAAGATATTGTTAAAAATTTAAATCTAAAAGTCTTATTTAAACATTAATCTCTTACAATGGGTGTAACATGCCCGCATGAATGTAGGTATGAAGTATAATATTTTTATGAACTGGAATAGATTGTAAATTGACAACTTCTAGCAATATAAAAAGACCAAGCTTTTGTATCTTAAAATAGCATGAAGTGGGATTAAAGCTGAATTTTTAACCTTGGTTTTCCTACTTCTTATTTTTTTAAAAACATGTGGTTGCCTGGTTTTAATGTTGCAGCAATAGTTTGTGGCACAGAAATAACAGTATGCTAGCTATGAAAGTTGGAGTGACTCCTGGCTGACGTGAGAACTTTCTTCACCATGTTTTGCCTTCAGGACACCGTCACCGTAATAGCATTAGCTGCAGCCCTGCCAGGCTCCCGGGCAGTGCGGAGAGAGGCCAGAACTATCTGTTCTCATCATGCGCAGAGCTGGTTCAACGGAAAACTTGAGCTGCTGATATTTCTGTAGAGATCAGCCTAGATCCATGATAGTACTTCTCAAGGACTTACGTCTTCAGTTTTCTTACCCATTTTCTGCAACTCTCTAAACAAAAATATCCATGCTACAAATTCAGGAAGGTCACTGTCCTCAACCACAAATTTAATTTTCAGCTTTCCCTTTCTACTGACCTTTTTTTTGTCTCTGTAGTTAATTTTAACTCAGTGCCCCACATTAGGAGCCGTTAGTTTCCAATTGAGGGAGTAGGTGCTTGCATGAGTGGCCCCCGGGAAGTGAACCTTGGTGAGTGATGGCCAGTAGGAGCCAGGGTTAGACACGGCATTACACCGTGGAAAGCTTCCGATCTCCTGTTGCAGACTAAATGTCTACAAAAACAATACTACCGATTTCCTGAATTCCTGCGTTTGGCAGATGTGAAGCTCAGTTTCTACAGGGGAAGCCAGGCTGTTTTGGGGGAGCTCATACTGCTCTGTCTTTTTGCTGCTGCTGCTAATTTTTGTGAGCACCATAGAATACAGTAGAAAATTGAAACTGTGTGAAAGATCAACAAATCAGTGTAGAATGTCACGCAGCAACATCTGTTAACTTTGGCTCTATCTCACATCCTCCTGACCCCTCCTTTCCAGCCACAAGTCTCCTGTTTTGTGAGAGCTCGGAGTGATAGGGACTTGGGGGGGTGGAAGTGTCTAGCTGTTTCTCAGTGGTCTGAAGCGCTTGCAAAAGTACCATCTGGAATGAAAATTTGATGTTTGTGTGTTTCTATATTGTTAGTTACGAAACAAGGGGGAATTTGCTGAATGAATTAATAGTATTACACTGTAAACGTCTATCTCGAGAGCCATTATATCTGGGAGCTTACAAAGGCTGCAGAGAGAAATGAAAGTGGCTTCCCTTTCTAATTAGAGCTGTCAGGAAATCATTGATTACAGAATCAAATAGGGTTGCTCGGAGACATTGGTTTGATATTACTTCTGATAAGTAAAATTTTTACCTAATAATAACTTTACCAGTGGCAGTGGAAGCAGCTGCACTCTCTAATGGTAAGCCTGCCGTCAATAAAACTTTCCCCTTTCCTTCCTACCTTGTCCAAACAGTTATAGCTAATGAAACATTACTTCAAAATTGTAGGTCCCAGTAAAAAATCCAAATCATGAAGAAAAGAGTGTTACAGTAGACAGTATGTTCTTAATGGGATGGTCTTCGTCTAGACCAGGTTAATGGTATAAGCTTGTTCTTGCATTGCATTTCAAAAAAAATCAAAACAAAACCTTGACCCAGTATGTAGAAATATTTTACATTTTTTTTTCCTTTCTTTAACAGGGTCAGCATATTTCATTAGCTCCCATTCAAAAGCTAGAGGAAGCTTTGTATGAGTATCAGCCTCTGCAAGTGGAGACATATGGACCACAAGTTCCAGAGTTTGAAATGCTGGGAAGGCTGGGGTAAGTAACACAGCAAGTTTTAATTCCCATTTCATGGCATTATAGCTGGTACTGTTATCATCTTCAGTTTTCCAGCATGTACAGTTTTTTTTTTCTTTCTTTTTTTTATTTTTTAAGGATCTTAATGAAATATTAGACTTCCTGCCCAACCAACATTTTGTTTGGGTGGATAAGCAGAAATTTTTGGTCCTCTAGCCTTTATAGATCTATTGAGAACTGGACTGGATTGCATTAGTGTTTTTAAGGTTGTCCTTGGCAGTTGTAGTGAAGTAGCTGTTCATTTTCAGTTGCACGGTATTAAAAAATAAATAAATAAAAATCTGGGGCTTAATTTACCCAGCTGTAAGCCAGTAAAAATATTAAAGTTGGGCTGTTTGCCATGGAAAAGGGTAGATTTACTTGTCGACTGCTGTCTACAGTCAAACTGCGTTTGTGAGAAATGAAGCACAGAGCTTAACTTTGTCAAAAAATATAATGCAGGGCTGGTCCGGCAGCTTGGTGGCATCGTGGAGTGCAGTCACGTTTGGAAGGGGGTTTGAGAGCCTACTGTGCCCGGGTGATGGAGGCTGGGAGGTCCAGAAGTGACGCTTTGGCTCTCCAGAGCAGTGTCCGTAGCTGAATCGCCACCTGAAAACACGTAGCTGCGGGCGTAGTGAGTGTCACCCAGCTCGTCACGGCCTAACTTTCAGGGTCACCACGGTGGCTGGAAAATTATGTGGCAGAATGAGCGTGCAGGCTGGCAAGGCAAGAAAGAGTTTAACAAATGTCAGTTTGTGTTTGGCTGTGCAGCATGGGAAAACTGAAGCCACAAGTATTGAACCAAGTTGAGACACTTTAGTGTGCATTTTCAGAGACCACTGAAATCCAAACAGGAATCCCATCTAGTTCACTGGCGCAGGAGAAATTGTATCTCATCCAGAAAATTATAGAGGTAGATAGACTTTCTGAAGTAAATAAGCAACCTAACAGTGCTTCAGAAAATTCAAGGCTGTCTGGAATTGAGGTTGTCTCTATTTTGAGTGTTTCTGTGTCCTCCTGATGCCTGTAATTATCTGATATCAAGCTTCTGAGTCCAAATACTAATTAGCAGTTTGAACTTGGGCAGAGCCAGGCTCAGCCTTCTCCACCTGTTTGGATGAAGCACTGCTGTGAGGGACCTCAGCTTTGAGGCCCTCTCAGCCCTAAGCCTGGTCACAAATGAAAATGCTTGGGCAAAAAAAAGATGACTTGTGAGGGAGGACTCCCAGTCCCTGTCCTTTAGCGTGTGCCTCTGTAAGGTGAGTGCTGGTGTCCACAACCTTGTGCCCTCCGTGTCCATCCCATGTGGCCGCCTGTGGCACCGGTTCGAAGGCAGCCCAACACCTTGCAGAGAAAATCCATTAAATACTGCAGTTGCTTTGCAGCGGCTGTGTGCAAGCAGATTTGGAGCAGGGTTTGCAAACGATGCTCGCAGTCTTTTCTTGGAGATGCTGTGATACGTGGGGCATTTTACTCTACTGAGCATGGCCAGCCTGGGTTGTTGGCTGTGGCGGTGATGAAGGAGTTAAGAGCGGCCGGGGTGCTGGGTGGCTGTGGTAGCAAGGGGGGGTGCGTGGGTGGGTCGGTGGTGCCCAACAGAAGAGTTCTTCTGAGGCTGTTGGCGATTCCAAAACAAATACATCGATGCTGTGGGTTCCCAGCCGGTACAACTCTAACCCTATTCCATGGGGTGTCTGAAATACCTTAAACCATGCGTGGCTATTCGTTTATATATTTGTGTTTCTGTGTTTATATGAACTCCTGCGCGCTTCCTGTTGATGATGAATGCTGAACTAATGTGCCTGGTCCCTGCTTCGGGTTGTCCCGGGCAGCTGCGTGCAGCTGCCTGGCTGAGGCTGAAGAGCTGGGCACAGCGCTGTCCAATCCGGCTAAAGATTTTTAGTTTCCTCTTCATTTGGACTCATATAAGGACAGGTTAAATCTAAATTTATTTATTTTTTTTTGTTTCTCCTTCTTTTCGTGTTTTTGTTCATAATTTTGCAGTCTGGCTATTTATTGCTGCTAAATAGGTCTCTCAGATGTGCAGGCTCTTATCATCGGAGTTTCTGGAACCAGAATTATTGCAGAGACGCTGCCAACCTGGAGACTTTGAATTCACTTCTGGTAGAATAATTTACTGACTTTTTTTAATAAGATACAGTTCATAATTTTCAAAACAGTCAGTAGAGTGGGCTTGTTGAATATTCACGTCTTAACCTCTTACCTGCTGCAAGACTTTAGGTTTCAGCATCAGTGTTGCTTTTCTTCCTTGGTAAACTGCTGTGATGGAGACAGCTGGCAACAAGGTTTTCAAGGAAAGAGCAAGAAAAAGGGAGACTCCTTAAGGGATCATTTAGAACATTTGTTAGGGATCTGTTATAATTAAAAAAAAAATTGCTTTTTAAGATGACTCGTATTATTTGCTCATTAGGCTTTACAAAAAACTTTGCGTGCAGTCCAATAAACTTGTTTCTGCATCCTCCCACTGCTCTTGTGTATAGATTTTTGCATGTTCTGCAAAAAAGGAAATTAATGTTCAAACTGTTTTTAGAAATTTGTTTTCACTTTCTGTTGGGGCAGGAAAATTTCTTTTTTCTGTATACTGCAGAAAAGCATGAACATCCTTACGATGCATTTTTTGCTATTGTGTTGGAAGTCTGAGAATAATGAAGAACTAGATGTTTTTGTTGTTTTTTCAACACAAATGATTGGTGTAATGAGTAGGGGTCTACGTACTTTAGCCTCTGCCCCCCCC